CACAGACCCTCATAATTCCTGAGATTCTGAGAACTGTACAACGGATTGAAGCTTTTTAAGTCACTGAATCTGGAACTGGTGCTGTTGATCGAAGGGTCTGTCCTGTCCAAAAAAACTGTGCTCATTGTCTGGGCACTAATAGCTACGTACATCTATAGACGTACCAGCTAATGCTAGCTAGCATTAGCTGCTAAATTAACATCCAGACTCTCATTCATGTATGGTTTATAAAAAGAAAAACAAAGAAAAGAAAAAAGAATGATGCATTAGCCACTATGCTAAGGCCACTGCTTCAAGACTAGCCCAAAAATAATAATGACATCACTGTGGTTACAACCCTCTTTTATATACAGTCCATAGTTTATATATGGCAATGGAAAATGTGATATAATAGTGTAAAGTTTCCTTGCTTGAATGTAACAAATAAAGACATCAAATGCGAGACTTGACACATTATGTCTCTCTGGCATTTCCCGATGAGGGGAAACAATGACTACAAAACTAAGCCTCCGCGCGTCAACCTTAGACAGGATACACATACTCTGCTTGGGAGGTGAGACAAAGGCAGCCTGTAATGTGATGCTGCTTTTCTTTTTTCTTCTAGCTACCTGGACAAGCTATCTGGAACACGCACAGAGATACACACCTACGCACAGGTGTGCGTGTTTGAATCCCAGCTGGGGCTGTTTACTTTTACCAGCCCACAGTTGGTGACGGCAGGTGTTTGCTGATGTAAATGAGCAGACTTCACATCCAGCTCAGCCTGTATGAATCAGCAAGATCCGTTATAAATAAAAGAGTAGCTATACAGTTGTTTCCGTAACACCTTAGTTCTCATTCATCGCTGCCCCAGCGACAGCACCTCTTGAATTACTGAGTCTCTTCCTCATTGAACAACCGGACAAGAAGGTTGTCAAACCATTAAATAAAACAATAAGCCAGAAACTTAAGCTATGAAATCCAGACAAGGCACGACTACATTCTGCTGCATGAAGAGAACATCAAAACACCAAGTCAGATGATGTTTTTCAGGTGGAGACTGATCACATCGAGCACTAGATTTGAAAAATCTGTGTAGGAAACAGTGACTACTGCCCTGGAGGTTTGTGGCAGCCCAACATGTAATTTATCAGTCATACATTTTACTAACCACATGACATCACAGACAATTATCATTCTGGCCTTACATTCCCACTGTTGCATGGCTCCATAGTGTTTTTTTGCCTAACAAGAGAGAGGTTACTTTTGGGGTTGCCTCAGGAAGGGCATCCGGCATATATAAAAAAAGAAAAATCTGCCAAGTCAAACATGTATGGTTGCTCCTATGTGAATAAGAAAGCAGTTAAAAGTAGTTTCTGTTTACTTTGTTACAGTTAAATTATGTCTTCAGACAACTCCGAATTATCCTGGTTTTAAACTAAAAACCAAAAGCTTTAAAGTGCAGCAACACAGGCCAAGTATAGAATAATTCTACACCGAGCTTCTATATTTTAAGTGTCAGGGATTTTCTGTTTTGAATCACAGAAAGCTGACTGTCCCATATAGATTATTTGTTTTAAGACATCCTTACAGCTGTTATTTTCATAATAGAACAATCTGTGTAATATAACATGATTTTTTTTCTGTTTAAGCTGATGGAAACTAGTGAACAGGATTTACCACAGCCCAGAAGTGTGTCACCAACCACACTGACTAGGGGAATGGGATATATGAACTACGAGCTAATTTAATACTTCTGCATTTGAGTCTGTTCACTGCTTATAAAACTAGCACTTCGCAGGGGAAGACTTTTCGTAAAGCTACAGTGCTAAGGAAGAGCTGTGGATTAGGTGTGAAATCTTGGCCAGCGGAACAAAACCAAGGTGAAACTTGTTATCTGCTGATTAGGAAAAAGCATAACCAAAGGCCAAGGGCGGAGTTAGGCCAGAGGGTACATTAAAAATGTGGACTGCCTGCAAGCGCAGTACCCCGGGCCACTGCTGGGTTCAAGTTAACGCAGTTAACACTCCGTCCATAGCTGAAGTTCAAAAAAGAAAATGAGGAAAAATAGCATTATCACCGTGACCTTTGCTCTCTTTCACACACACATTCTTTTAATGGTCTATAAAGGACGGCATTACAGCTGCACACACTCCCACCTGTGTACGGTGTGCTCGGCGTCCTGTACCGGCGGACAGCTGGACTCACACGGTCCAGTTTGCTGCAACAGTTCCGCGTTGCTGTGGTAACCCGTTAAAACCACTCCCTGTGACTCCATCTGTTGCCGGCTCATGTTTCTCCCGCTTTTCGTCTTTCTTCTATTTTACACACGGTTATGACATCCGATCGCTAATCGATAGATAAATCACTTTATCCGTGTATTCCTTCCATCTGTGTGCGGATTTGTTGCCGACTCATTCTCACATTTTACTCTCCTCCTCCTGGTTCTCCTCCTTCTCGTCCTCTCGGCTCCGTGTTATCGTCTTTCTCTACAACTTGTCCGTGTGTTTTCTCAGAGGCAGCGCAGGACAGGGGCTGGATTACACTCACAGACCAGCTCCGGGATTGGCCCAAACCCCGCAGGGCAAAGTTTCCGATGTGACAGCGCACCCAGCTGCTCTGACAGGGTACTGAAAGCTTCCTGTACAAATAAGCTCAAGGGGGTTTTTCGAGACGCCTCCATACATCTTCCCAGTAAACACACTTTTCTCCTTAGATTTGAATTATCATCTATCATTTATATATAGACACACACACACACGTATGTGTATTAACAGCTTGTGGCACCATTTTTAAAAAGTTTTAAAGCAGGACAAATTAAAACCATGTTTCCTACATTTTATAAAGATCCTAACTTTACATGCATTTCATGTAATGTCAACATGGTTCAATCTAATCTGGCTCCACATTGTGTCTTTTGTCCCGTCTTCCTTTCCTCACCCTCAACCCCTGGCACCAGATAGCTGACCCTATCTGATCATGGTTCTGCTGAAGGTTTCTTCCTGTTAAAAGGGAGTTTTTCCTCCCCACTGTTTCCAAGCACTTGCACATAGGGGGTCATCTGATCACTGGTGTTTTTTTTAGATTATTGTAGCTGTATTACTTCACCTTACAATATAAAGCCCCTTGAGGCGACTGCTGTTGTGGTTCGGCTGTATATGAATAAAACTGAATTGAACTGAATGATGTTAAAATCAAAATTTTGACTACTTTTTAAATTTATACTGCTGAGAATTCACATTAAATGTTATAACATAACTAGATTTAACATTTAGTTTTACATTAAAACAATAACATTTAACAATTAGAGTGAGATGTAAAAGGGTTGTCGTGAACATGGTTATAAGTGACCTTAAAAACATTTAAAAATGTTTTAATAAATTTCAGCAATCTACAACCCATACAGCTAGTGGGACTTAAATGTATGTTATTTGCTCTACTATTTACAACTTTGATTAGGTGGAAGTCAGTGCTCAGTGTTTTTCCACTCTGGATTGATAATGAGCAAAATAAAACTTCCTGCTAGTTTTAGCCATACAGCTTAAGGGTTCTTTAGCTGTCATCTTACAGTTTTGCAGCTGTTGTTTTAAAATACAGCCTAGGGTTCAAGTTCAAGTTCGTGGGCAGCTGCTTTGGCTTTGAAATGAAGTAGTGTTTCTAATATGCAGCTTTGCAAATACTTGAGGGTGTTCACACACTGACCTGAGCCTGCATTATATTAATATCCTGCAAGTTTATACTGGCACCCCCAGGAAAATTGCTTGGATCATTTTTGGATAACATAACATTTCTAGTAACCACAAATTCTAAACGATAGCTTTTAATATGTGAATAACTAAAAAAGCTACTTGTCACATTACTGTTCAATATGCACAACTACAATATAAAAGGTAAACTGACTACTTTTTTTCTGTGTATGCTGTTATATATGCAGTGTATACTACATGCTTATAACTGTATCATATTGCAAAGGCCCAGAGCCAGTCAGAGCTGATCACAGCACATGCACAGCAGGTAAACTACACATTTGATCCTAAATTTTGAGCACTTACAGGTAACACACATCACATAGCATGTGACCTATGTTTAAAAATAAAAAGGGTTACATACCCATATGCACACACCGGTGTACAAACACAAAAACATTACTAATTCCTTACCTGAGCCAGAGGTAGTATGTGAATCTGGAGACCATTGTTTTGTTGCCTGATTGAATTCAGTAAAGCTTTATTTCACAAAGCACAACCTACTCACCATGTGGTGGGAGTTGATAGAAAAACTGACCCACCCACACAGTGAAAATTGGATTAGCCAGAGAAGTAAATTAGATTTTTGTGCACCTCCCCACCTCTGAGGTCATGCCACCACTCAACTCAGTCTCTCCATGACTTCAGTTTTATTTATCATTCACTTACTTCCTGCTTTGTTTCTTCCCTGTATCCCTCACGCTACCTCCACTTTGAGATCACTTTCATTTGGGCCTAGAGTACTGACGGCCAAAGGCGGTACAAAGGGCATCTATAACAGTAAATCTTTCAAATAAGTTTTGAAAAATGAGATAAAATTGGTAATTTTGTAATTTGTTTTACACTCCTAATAGCTCAAATAGTCCAATATCATCACAGGTTTGTTACAAACATTGCTCAGTTATGACCCTGGTACCTGCTACACTCCAGCAGTAGTATCAGAAAGGGCACCCCATGCTGTCACTGGAGATCCTTTCTCAGGTAATTAGGTCAAGTGAAGCTCACAATTAAGCGCAAACCCTTAATGTAGCTCATCTCCCCACTCCTGTAAGCCCCCTACCCCATCTGCTTCAGTAAGAGCAAATGAATCCTGTCTGGACTGCCAGGATGGAAAAAAAAAAAAAACCCAAAAACAAGTTTAAAAATAAAAATAAAACCAAAAAAATCTGCCTACAACAGATTAGCTTGTGAGCTAATAAACTGAAGATGAAATTCAAGATGAGAAAACCTTAGTTTCCAGTTAGTCAACAAAGACAAACTCTTCTAGAAGTGAACATTGTATTTTTTTATTATAATCATCTCAAGATCCCAAGCAAATGCTTAATACTCCAGCAAACATGCAAGGAATATGTACAGCAGGAGACCAAAGGAGAGAAAGGGTACTAATGAGAAACATTATTTAACAAAATATCAAAACAACACTTAATTTGAGATAATTTTGAAAGAATTGAAACAATGATTACAACCCAACTCCCTTCATAAGTAGAAAACAAATATTATGAAAAGAAAACATGGTGAATCTTGAAACCTGCAACAACAAACAGTGCAATAACTGAGGTCAAAGACGAAGTCAAAGACGATTTGTCCGTGCAAATGGCAAAGACTCATGAGAGCTGTAGTTTGTGTCAGATCATACAGTTAATGTTTGGTTAAATGATGAGATCCAGATCAGTAGAAGGAAACTAACCAACAAGATTTTACTTTGAAACACAGTCTAGTATTTTTTTTTTCATGGGCTTCATTAAAAGTTAATATACAGAGTGTATTTATTATAATTTATTTGTGACGACGGGTGTAGCAGGTTTAAGGGAAAAGGACAGTTACTGGCACATCACACGGAAGTCATTTTAAAATATTAACCCTCCCATGGAGAGGAGATTAAAACATATGAAAACCAGACAGAATGAATGAACAGGATTTCTCACCTCCTCCTCCTGCTGGTCCTCACATTTTCACTGAGCCCTTCAGCTCTCTAAACATCTTTGAGTACAAGTCTTTCTCTTTGTCCAAGCTGTCTTTATAGCACCTGGAACAAGAAAATGACACGTGAATATCTTCCGAGTGGTTTCACAAATGTTACAAAAGACAGTTATGATCCACTATGAGGAACACCTTGCTTGTACTGGGCTGTACCTCTTTTTGCTTCATGTGAGCTTTGTGACATGGTATGATATCCTGCGGGAAGTTGTGGATTCAGATATGCTCTTCTGCACACATTGGCTGAGTAACAACTGGTTATTCGAGTTACTGTTGTCTTTTTAGCAGCTTGTAGCAGTCTGGCCAATGAGGCAGAAAACCACTGCTTACTGTTCATTTTCCCTTTTTTGGATCATTTCCTTTCAAACCCCAGAGATGGCCGTGTGGGAAAATTCCAGTAACTCAGCAGTTTCCAAAATACTCAGATCAGCCTGTCTGGCACCAACAATCATGGCACGTTCACAGTCACCTAAATCACCTTTCTTCCCCATTCTGATGCACAGTTTAAAGTTTAGCAGGTAGTCTTGACTATGTATACATGGCAAAATCCAGTTTCTGCCATGT